TATATATATATATATACATATATATATGTATATATATATATACATATATATATGCATATATATATGTGTATCTGTCTCTGTCTCCGTTTGTTTCTGTCTCTGTGTCTGTCTGTCTCTGTCTCTGTATTTATTTTTGTTTTTATATTTATATCTTTGTTTGTCTCTGTTTTTCTCTGTCTCTGTTTCTATTTGTTTCTCTATTTGTCTCCTCTGTTGTGTGTTTCTGCTGCACTGTCTCCTTTTGCTGCTGCTGCTGCTGCTGCTGCTGCTGGTGCTGCTGGTGCTGCTGCTGCTGCTGGAGGTTCTAAGGAGTTATATAAGGGCTGTGTGTTGCGTGTGCTGCACCTGTCGCAGCAGCATCAGCAGCAGCAGCAGCAGCAGCAGGAGCAGCAGCAGCAGCAAACAGATCTTGCTCTGCAGCAGCAGTAGATGCCTCCAAGGCCTGAGAAACACACAACCCCACCTCAACAGCTACTGTACAACCAGCAGCAGCAGCAGCAACAGCAGCAGCAGCAGCAACAGCAGCAGCAGCAGCAACAGCAGCAGCCGCAGCAAACGTAGTAGCAACAGAAGCAGCAAAAGCAGCAGCAGCAGCAGCAGCAGCGGCCACGGGAACAGCAACAGCAGCAGGAACAACAGCAGCAACACCAACACCAACAGCAGCAACACCACCAACAGCAGCAGCAGCCACAACAGCAGCAACAACACCAACAACAGCAGCAGCAACACCAACAACAGCAGCAGCAACAACCGCAGCAACACCACCAACAGCAGCAGCAACAACAGCAGCAGCAGCAGCAGAAACGCACATTTTGTATGTCCCCAAGTTCAAGCAAGCAGCGAGCTCGCCACGCGTTTGCTGTTGCAGCAAAAGAAGCAGCACCACCTGGTGCTGCTGCTGCAGCAGCAGCAGCAGCAGCAGCAGCAAGACGGCCCTCAGCTGTCTTCAATGCCCCCCCAAAGTATCGCTGCAGAGCCGCGCAGAGCTCGCTGCTGCTGCTGCTGTTGCT